CAAGATTATCTTCTGTGTCTGTGTTAATTGGTTTCCCTTTTCTTTGTTGAAGAGGGTCTGTGCAATCCTTCTGCCTAGTCCGCCATCTTCCAGAATTATTAATTTAACCAGCTACTTTATTTGCCAGACTTTGCATTAGCTGACTTCATTTATGGCTGCTTAAGAAAAATCAAATCCATCCTTTAAAGAAGCTATATTGCCACTAAGATATTGTGAAGAAACAAGATCAAGGTATCTATCTTAAAAATAGATATTCCTCAATAGTCACCCTTCAGGGAACTCTACAAAACAGGTTTTACTTTTATCTTTCAAAGTACTGTCACTAAATCTCTTAGCCACCAGTCTCAGTTTCTTTAAAAGAGAGAAACCACAAACAAAGGGATGCTAATTTCCCTAGAATCCCAGGTAGCCCAACAGGGGGAACTCAACTAAAATTTTACAGCCTTTAAATTATAATTTCTCAAGTTTTTTCTAACAAGATACCCTTTGCATTTTCAGATTCTCAATCAACTGCAAAACAGACCTGAGCTGATAGTAGTAAGGTTCCCCTAAATTTCTCATCAATTGTGCTGTTGTTGTTGTTATGTGCCGTCAAGTCAGACTCAACTCATAGCGACCCCTCCTTGGGTTTCCCAGGCAGTATCACTACGGAAGTAGATTGCCCCATCTTCCTTCCGAGGAGTGGCTGGTGGGTTTGAACCACCAGCCTTCTGGTTAGCAGTCAAGTGCCTTAGGCACTATGCTACCAGAGCTCCCGATCAATCATGCAGGTAACTCCATTTTAAATTCCAAGTGAAGAATCTGGAGGACATTTTCTGGGAATATTTTTCAAAAATTCTTGCTTTCCCTGGTGAAGTGACTAGGAGATACCGTAACTGTGCCAAAGGAGTGTACTCTGAGAAGGAGGATTGAGGAGGAGGAGGAGGCCACTCTGCTTGCAATTTGGATAAACTGCCAGCAGATGGGGTGTGCTGGCTAATCCAAGTGTCTCTCCAGGTATTCAGTTGTTGTCAAGTCAATTCCCGACTCATATCAACTGTGTAGGACAGAATAGAAGTGGGTTTCTAAGGCTAAGTTTTTATGGAAGCAGACTGCCACATCTTTCTCCAGTTGAGCTGCTGGTGGGTTTGAACCACTGACCTTTTAGTTAGCAGCTGAGCACTTAACCACTAAGGGCTCCTTTCTACAGGCATAGATTCTGAAACAAGAAGAGGATGTGACTCATCAGAAAATGAATGGGAGTACTGAGAAAAGTGAATTGAACCTGGGGACATCTGTCTACTAAAGGATCATTTTAACTAGCTCACTGACAACATGGGTAGCTATTGAACAGTAATTTCTGTGATACCAAAAATACTGCTCTGAATATAAACAAAAGAATCACATTTCCAAATTTTTAAACAAGTTTAACAGGACACTTACTTTTTTACAATTTTGTTGCGCTTGGCTTGTGAGAAGCTTTCAAGCTGAAGGGATTCATGGGTGAGAAATGCTACTGCCAAATGGAAGTAATTGTTCCAAAGCTGTTCAAAATTAATTGAGTGGGTGAAAATAAATGGAAAATAACATTGTTTTAATAAGGGTAATGTTAAAACAGTGCCAAATGGTAGAAAGCCACTATCCAGGAATGATTGAAAAAACAAAATAAAATCCAAACGACTTATTTTTCTTTCTTGAGTTTCAATTATTCAGTACTTTAAGACTAATATTAATGTTAAGTTTTAATACGATATACTATATCTTACTATAGTTGTCTTTACTCCTGGGAGAGAGAAAAACTGTTGCCAGGAATGTACATTGAAATAGCCTTTCTTTATAGTGGGTCGTTTCGCAACACGTATGAAAAGTCCTAAAATTCTGCCACACATTTGAACTAGTAAATACTTTTAGGAGTTTATGTTAATGAAATAATTGTGGGTAATTTAAAATGTTTAAAACAAGAAAGACCATCACACTGCTATTTAATAAAATAGAAAGTGGAAACAATATAAATGTTCAAAAGAGGAGTTCAGTTAAATAAATCATGGTCAAACCATATAATGCACTGTGCTTAGTCACTAAAAATGTTGTGAATATATTTTATATCATGCAAAAAGTAAATAATAAAGTAGATTAATAAGTTATCAAAGAACTGTACAGCTTGATTTAATTTTGCTACATATGCATACACACACACAAAAACACACAGAGTTTCCTCTACATAAGACTTGATTTTAAAACCTACACAGATTACAAAGACGTGATATATAAACAAAGGCACATGCTTTAGGGATGAAAAAGAAACAAGAAAACATTCATTTGAAAATGATGAAGTCCTAGGTGATGTTTTCCAAACTGAATAGCTCTCTCCCTATGACTGAGAATTCAAGGAACTCCTGGGCAAAATCACATGCTTACCTGAAGTTCAAAGCTTGCCTGGTCCATGAAGAATCTTGTGAGAACTTCAGCAAACTGATTAATAGCACGAAGAAAAACCCTGGAGAAGGAAAACACTGGATAAAGAAGGCAAGTTTGTTCTCTTTGGAACATTCTCCCTTCCATGTTAAAAACAAATGAAAAAAATTCTTGGATTTGGAAAGCTAAATAAATCCTTTAAGTCTGTCAAAGTCTTAGGGAACAATAACAGCATGTAATCTACTGATGAGGAGACAGAAGTTGAGTTTCTAGAACTGACTAAAAGAGTTACTCAAGGCTGAAGTACAATTGAGCCAGTTAGAGGCAGAGCTGAGAATACACGTAAGACCTACTGAAACTCAGACCAGGGCTCCTGGAATTATATTATGATGCTTCTCTTTTAAAAACTAGCATTTCAGATACAACTTTTCTCTAATCTGTATGTAGTCAGGAAGAGTTTTTCTAATCAGGTATCAGGGCCATAAACCAAAAAAACCAAACCACACTGCTGTGGAGTCAGATCCAACTCATAGCAACCCCTCTTTGGGTTTCTGAGGCGGTATCACTATGGAAGTAGATTGACCAACTTTCCTTCTGAGGAGTGGCTGGTGGGAATGAACCGCCAGGCTTCTGATTAGCAGTCAAATGCCTTAGGCACTATGCCACCAGAGCTCCCTATCAGGGCCACACAGAGTTAAAAATAATAATTACAATAATGATTTACTCTACTTAGCTCTTTTTAAAATCCTAAAGCCTTTTTAATATCATACATAGTTTATCTCACTTCTATTCAACAAGTATTTGTGTGGGCCAGTAACTTGAAGGGGCTGGCTTAGGTGCAGCAGGGCTGGCGTAGGTGCAGCATTCAAAGACATGGTTTCTAGTCTCAAGAAGTTTACAACTTCATGGGAGAAGTTTATCACCTGTAAGTTTAACCATGACCCAAGACAAACAGAAAATCCTGAGAAAGTTTCAAAGATTTATGGGTGATCAATGAAAGAAAAGATGGCATCCAGGTTAGAAAGAATTCCTTCAGAGATGGCACTTGAGAAGGGCTTTAAATGATGGGTAGAAGAACGCTAACAGCCAGAGATTATGGAGAAGACATTCCAGGTGGAAGACGCAACATGAGAGGCAGCAGAGAACATGCTTAGGAACTGGAAAGAGGCCAGTTTGGTTACAGCACAGGTTGTAGAGAAGATGTGAAAGATAAGGCTAGAAAAACTGGTGGAGCCAGGCTACAAAAGGCCTTGAATGTCAGGTGCAGGAGGCCATCTGGAGCCATTGAAAGATTCAGTGTAGAGCTGATGTTGAGGACAATAAATAGGAAAGAAATGAGAACAGAACTGAGAGAATGAGTAGAAAGCCCAAGTTGAAACAACTGAGTAGCCCAGGGAAAATCAAGATCATTATCACAAACTAGGATCATGGCATTGGGAAGATCCTTACTTTGTAACTGATGGACTTGAGGCAAAGAGATATTATTTCACTAAGGTCACAGAGCAAGTTACTAAATATTCAAACATAGCAGGATCCATTATGGCCTATCTTACCTGCTCTGCGTCATATTCATGACCATCCAATCTTTGGCATAGACATTCTTTCCAATCAGATCCTTAAACATGATAAAGGTTTCCATGAGGAAGTCCTACGGAGAACAAAGGATGAATAGTTGGAGAAGAAATGGCTACATTAATAGGTTGTTCCTCCTCATGTGGCCAAGAAGGAACACTACATCAGGACAAGATTTTCCTAGTCTCACAGTAACAACTTATTTTATGATGAAGATTTTAATCTTCATCTGATGTGACTTGCACTACAGCATATGATTCTATGAGGAAGACAAGGACAAAAAACATCATTTGCATTTTAATGATAAAACTGAGGCTGAGAAAAATTAAATGACTAGCCTTTCATCACAGGACTAGGAAGCAGAACGGCTGGGATGAGAAGCCAGGTGTTTAGACCCCAAGATTAGAGCCTTTATCTACATACACTTTGCTGCCAAGTGTTGTCTGAATAAATCTACTACATTTGAAAATAATTTACCAGAAAACTGAAAAAATGGATACTTTTCGTAAATCTGAGTTCAACTGTCCTTTACTATTGTTAGAATAGAATAAATGTGTTACAAATAAGAAAAAGTCGTAACTCTTCATATCCTAGAACTCTGTCATGTAGAGCCTTGAGGAAGCATCCCAAATAGTCCTTAAGAAGAGATTTTAACAGTGGCTCATGATGACTGTAGTAACTAGTAATGTTAGCACACAGGAAAATCAGCTAGTCAAAGGGGCTGTAGGCAAAAAGTAATTCAAATAGGACAATCATTAAATATCAAAGCTAAATTTTTTGAAAACTTTCTAATTTACTATTTATTAGTCAGCTAAATTTAGACTTTCTCCTGGGATTCTTGAAATGAAAATCCAGTCTAGTTTCTCTGGCACTAAACTAAGTAGTTGAACCCTTAGGAATTATACGACATGACTGTAAGAACATGGCACTTGGGAGGCAGGAGGCCTGGGCTATATTTCTAATGACATCTCTCCGCAAAACAGCCTAGGAATGGAAGTGACTTCTGGCCATGAAGTCTATGTTACACTTGAATCTTCCTTCTGGTTCAACGAAGTCACACTTATCTAGCCTCATTTCTGAAACCACAGACTTCTTTCAAGAGTTTGAAATTTTTCATCATACATTTTAAGTAATTCCAACAATTTTAGCTATATTTCATTGTATTACCTTTTTAATTAAAATCAACACCAATAATTCATGGCTTATGAATCAAGGATTAAATTTGTATGCCAGTTACCTGCCCTGACATTGACTCTACAGTCAACTCCCATGAAGGACATTTTAACACCCACTACTAGATCCTGAAGGGAAGGCTTTTATCCTTTCAGGCTACCCTTCACCATACGTTTAATAGCAACTATGAGAATACAGTTTTCCATTTAAAACAAAAGACAAAGTATATTACAAACATAATAAGGGGAAGAAGTTAGCTCTTATTTTCTTTTGCAGGGAAGACAAACTAATGATATCAACCACATCTTAGAAGACTTTGAAGACCTTGCTTCCTAAAATCTTTGCATGGAGCAAGTAACTACTGCCCCTCAAAATGAGACACTATCTCTGTTCCCAGGAAATAAACATTTCCAAATGTTTCTACATCAGGGCTCTAAGTCTAAAAGACATAGGGAATTGCCAGATGACCTTTTACTATGCATATTGTGAGCTTTAAATCCTTTTCCTAATCACTGTGGACAGCCAAATAACATTGGAAGTTGGTAGGAAGAGATCCCAGGACTCATTTTGTGGGTGATGTGCTTTTGTTGAATATAAGAAGGTTACAAGGACCTGATGAAGACAACTTACAATGATGTCTTGTCTGGTTTTGAAAGTGCTGATGTAGTGACTGTAGTGGCTGTCATCCATTTGCTGCAGGATTGCAATCATGCAAGCAACAAAACTACCCTGGAAGGAAAAAGAAAATAGAAGTCCAAGACTCCTTAGGCTACCAAGCAACAAAATAGTATTTGAGTGTAATGTACTTTGCTTATTCCCACCCAATTAGTTATGTAGGGACCTTTCCAAACTGGAAACATCCTATATTCCAAAGTAGCAAAGGGGATGTAATCCGCTATTCTGCTTAAAACTACCACATTTTAGGTTTTTTTTTTTTTTTATTATTATTACTATTATCCCCCAGGATCTAGAAGCCCTTACTCATCCCATTAACTGTTATGATTTGTGGAATCCTATAATCAAGAGATATTTGTTAATTCTAAGATCTCAACTAGATTATTAGTTAAGATATAACAATTTGTGGGTTTGGCATTCCTTGTTGAGATAGAGTTAAAAATATCTGAAATATTTTGATCATTTAAACAAATTTGAATTTGGGTGAATGTTAGGAAGCAAAAAAGTAGTAAAAGTAAATGTGGAGGAGTGGAAAAGAGGATTGGAAATGATAGCTCCCTGCTAAAACATGTGAATTTCAGTTCTCCAACTCTACCTGGGGTCACCATGACTTGGAACCAACTTGACAGCAACTGAGTTGCTTTTTATTTGTTTTCAGAATCCATTACAAGATTGGGCAATCTACTTCCATAGGGATACTTCCTCAGAAACCCAAGGAGGGCTCGCTATGAATCGGGATCGACTGGATGGCAGCAAGTATGGTTTTGGTGTTTTTTTTAGCCATTTAGTCCCAGTATGTTATGCATGTGGAAATATGGACCTGATTTGAGGAAAGGAATTAAATAACTAGATGAATAATGTAGTTTTCTATTTGTGAAGTCAGGACGTACTTATCCTCTTATATTCAATTAATTTCTACTCCAAACAGGTTTGAATCTGCCAGTTTTTGATACAGATTATCTGCCAGAGGGCAAACATCTAGAAGTACTATACTATACTTCCATGAAAATGACAAATTTAAATGAATTTGGCACAAAACGAATGAATATATAGCTGTTCTTGGGATGGAGGGAATGATTTCCTAAACATAAAAACAATGAAAGAGTCTCCATTAACACCTCTCTCTGTCTTTCTGTATCAGTCTATCACTCTTGTTTAAAAAAGTTTATCGTAAAATAGTTTTAAATATTTTTTCAGGCCTGGAATTGAACACACTCCTGTGGCTTCCAGCCAAACAACACATCAGGTCGCTACACTCCTTAGAAGAGTCAACCATGGGAGATCAGTAGGACAGTATTTCCACAGAGATAGCTCAGAGGCCAGGAATGCACAGGAGAGAAGGACACAGGGAAAGGGTAATCACAGTGAGGAAGTAGGAAGACAGCTTTCATTGTGGAGATTGCAATCAATGTCATGAAACAAAATGTACATGAACTGTTGAATGGAAAATGGATTTGTTCTGTAAACTTTCACCCGAATCACAATAAAAACAAACAACTAACCAACTAAATAATGATAATTATACTTATTTTTCCTTTTCAATATTTATACTAAGAATCTGTTTCTTATTTACATTGGCTAGAAATTATAGAAGAATGCTAAGCAATAGTGTTGAAACTGGAGATCTTATCTTGTCCTGCTGATCTCCCATGGTTGAGGGTTCTAAGGAGTGTAGGGATCTGATGTAAATGTTCGTTCACCCTGTAGGCCTGTCTGTTGTTTGGCTGGAAGCCCCAGGACTGAGTTCAATTCCAGGCCTGAAGGAATATTTAAAACTACTTTACTATAAACTTTTTTAAATAAGAGTGACAGATTGATACAGACCTATCTTATCTTGGTTCTTTTATCATCAGTATATTATGTTGCCTAATGATTTCATGTTTAAAAAGCATCCTCCTATTCTTAATTTGGAGTAAACTTTAAATTTATCATATATCATCATAAGCTTTTTTTTCCTTTTTATTGAATATGTACATTTTATTATGGACTCTCTAATTAACTATCCTTGAATACCAGGAATACATTATATTATGCCATGTACATTTTCTTTTTGCATATTTCTGTCAATATGCTTGTATCTTTATATGTTATTTCTCTCACTTCTCTTCCTTCTTATGTTTTTCTTTCTCTAAGCTTCTCACTTTGCTTCTTCTGATACTTCTGTCACTAAATTCGGGTATGTTTAAATATTATCTGTTAGCCAGTATACATTTCCTAAACAACGTCGTTATCAGTCCTCTTTACATGTTCTTTAAATGGTCTCCCAATAGAAATTATGGTCCATTCAGTGTTTGTTTTTTTAATTTTGTAATATTTCTAAAAGACTCTAAAAAGCCTATCAATTTCAGCTTATCCCAATGGCTCTTCAAACTCCTTTTTATCTTCTTGATCTACTAAGTTGCACTCAAGTCTATTAGTAGTTATTTCAGCAAAGTATGAAAGGATTAGTGAATGATGCTAATTTTTAAAACTCTATTTCTACTTTTAGGCATACAAGTGATTCTACTATTCTTCTCTCCTAACTCATTCTTAGCCTCTAATAGTCAATACTTGAAAAGATAGATCAGTGAAGCAATATACTTTATTTTTGCATAAGTAATTAACAGTAATATTATCAGGGCACAGAAATAAATAGCAATTAATAGATTTTAAATTTTCCTCATCCTTTCTGGTGGTAAACAAGTTACTAATTTTTGCCAACTATTTTAATGCTCTGAAGGTATACCTTTGATATGATATAGGGGGTTTTCCTATTTTTCCATATACATTTATAAATGCATCCTGATTCCCTCAGATATTTCACTGAGAAAGAGATCTGGGATTACCATCCCACCAACTGCCATCAATTCTATTCTGACTCATGACAATCCCACGTGTGTCAGAGTAGAACTGTGCTTCATTCAGTTTCCACTCACTGCCTTATAAAAAGCAGATCACCAGGTCTTTTTTCCAAGGTGCCTTTGGGTAGACTTGAATCTCCAACCTTTCAGTTAGCTACTAAGCAGGTTAATCATTTGCACTACCCAGGAACACTCCGATCCAGGATTAGCCTAATGAAACTTTACTCCTTTAATATAATGTCTGAATTTTTCTCTACTATTCTTTGGATTGGCTTGCTTTTTAACAAGGCAACAAGACAGTTCTACTGGAAGCCATTCTTTAAAAAGTTTCTTTTCTTCTGGAACAAAAGGGGAGGACCAGCTGGGGAGTATTGCAGGACACCAGGCTATAAGCAAGCTAAAACTGAAGTGGAAAATGATATGGGGGGGGGGGGAACAGAATTTATCAGGAGTCCACTCATGGAGACTATAGTACATAGTTGGAAACAACTTGGGGAAGTTGCTTGGAGATGGGGAATGGTTGATAAAATGCACATACTCTGCAGTCAGGCTGCTCAAGCCCAAACCCCAATTCTACCACCCAGTAGCTGTGGACAATTTTCTTATTCTCTCTTTGATTGTTTCATCATTTGAAAAATGGAGTTAGTAATGGGACTGCTTCCTAGGATTATTGTGAGGTTTAAATGTAAACTGATCAAAACAGTTCTGACACACACAAAAAAGTCAGCTACTTACTACTACTATTATTATCATTAGAGGTGGTTGTATTAATATTATCACTATCATTATTGTAAGAAGAGTGAATCCAGAATAGAGCATACACATTGAGAGGTAAAACGGAATTGCTGGGCACAATTTAGGAAATGTGAGATGAAGCCACCAAAATGCCTCATTCCCTGCTCACAAAGGCTCAGATTTGCCTTAAATAAAATATTTAGCAAATATTTAAAAAACATTAGGTTGAATGGATACCAAGTTATCAGACTACCTAGGGGGCCTGTGTGTTTCAGTCTATCTCTGCTTGAATATATTATAATGGGCCTTTATTTAACCTTCAACATGAGCATACTGCTCAGAATGGCTCTGCATGCCTTTATTTGTGGGAACCTTGAAAATATTCCTCCCATCACTACCCCACCAGTCTACAATAGAAATTCAGTATCAGAATCAAGATCTGCTCCTGGTTATAACCATGTCAGCCAGTCAGGGAGGTCTCTGTAAAGTTTCAGATGCCATTCCTTTCCTGAGGTAGATATGCTGCACAGTGTACAGGCACAGGTTATAAATGGTGATTTGAGATGCCTCAGTGAATTCAGTCTCAAGGCTCTGGTCCTCAAGCAGGTGGGGCAGTGAGACGTTGCAGTTGCGGTATATACACTGAGGAGATACTCACAATGTGGGGAGACTGACGGCTCATCCCAATCACAGTGCGGTTGATCCTTCTCAGCAGCCGCTCCATGATCAGCTGTATGTGCATGGCGGTGGGGCCCTGAGGGGAAACACAGGAACTGACACCATTTCTTCTGACTCAGCTTCATTTTTCTTAAGGGAACCTTGGACAAGATATGTTTTCTCTTCAGACAGAGTTCTAACTCTTTGCTACAAAGCAATTCCTTGTCCACAAAGGAAAAAAGGTTTCATGGGACAATATGTAACATTACAAAGGAATCAGCTGAGAATAATTAGTTATAACATGTGAAAAGTGAATGTGGAGTGTAAAGGAAGGGTGCTTCCCAAATAACTCAGATCGCTCAAGTCAGTGAGAGCTCATCATGCCCATCGATTCAACATAGTTTTGGGGGAACTATTAGCATGAGGTACTCAGTCCTGATGCTCAGCAGATTACTGTTGCACAGGACAGTTACCCACATGGGGAAGTGAAAGGCAAAATGACAGAGTTCTTAAAAAAAATACAGAATTCCTGCCACCATCTGTGTAGGAGAAAGAAAAGAAATTTGAGACTAGGAGAATTAATTCTGACTCTGTCATGTCTGATTGTGAGTAATTATTTGATTTCACTGAGCTTCAGTTTTCATAGATGCAAAAGGAAGATGACAATGCTTCTTTTAAAGGAATCAGTTGGACTGATTACACGACAACTGATTGCCTAACAGTTTTTTCTTCTTTCTTTCCTTCTTTCTTTTGTTTTTGCATTGTGGTAGGAATATATATAGCAAAATATTTTCCAATTCAACAGTTTTTACATGTATAATTCAGTGACTTGATTATGTTCATCATGTTGTATATAACCATACACAATGTCCTTTTACAAGTTATTTCACCATCATTAACAGAAACTCCATACCTCCTAAACAATGACTTCTCCACTCCCTCTAACAATGCTGTTGTTGTTGCTGTTGTTACGTGCCGTGGAGTCGGACCCGACTCATAGTGACCCCTCCTTGGGTTTCCAAGGCAGTATGCAGTATCACTACAGAAGTAGATTGCCCAACCTTCCTTGCAAGGCTACCACTAATAAACTTTTAAAAATGTATAATTCCCTATTTTACGTATATATAAAAAAATTCATTATCACCTCATTGATTCTGACTCATAGTAACCCTTCAAGACAGAACTGTCCCATTGGGTTTCCCAGGCTGTAATCTTCACAGACCAGACTGCCACTTCTTTCCCCTACAAAGCAGCTGATGGGTTTGAACACCAGCCTTTCACTTAGCAGCCGAGTATTTAACCACTGTGTCACCAGGCACAAAGAATAAACTGTCAGTAATTACAATCTTGAATTATATGAAGAGATAAGAGAGAATAAGAGAAGATACACTGAGCTAGTTCATACATTTAAAAAATGTTTCACAGTGAGAGGAAAAGAAATTATTACAGTCATCACATTCTGGCAGGGAAGAGTACAGGCAAAACATAAAATAAGCCAATTAAAATTTGCTTGCTCAGCATTTAAAAACAGGCCATTCTAGGCATTTCTCAAGAGGCCTTCTGTGTTGTAAGAATATTGTGTAGGTAGAGATATTACATATTAAAAAATAGGATCAAGATGTTTAATTAATAGCCTTAGAGAAGTGGAAAAGACTCAGAGGTCATCTAGAGCAACACTTACATACTGCCATGTAGGAAATTGAGGTACGAGAGATTAAATGACTTGCCTGAAGATATGGAGCTACAGAGAAGTAGTATGGTAACTAGAAACCAAATATTCTGATTCTTTAGTTTCAGATTAACTTTGGATCATATGTACATATGCCTTTTAGAACTCTGCAGCCCCACTTAAGCCAATGTACCTAGTTCATTGTTGTCAATTTTAAGGGCTTAGAGTTTCATTTTACTATTTTAAATAATTACTGAGTCAGAAAAGATTTTGCTTTTTAAAAAACTATTTTTCTGACATGACTGGTCATGTTTATTTATTTGCTGCAAAGTCCTTGGTTACAAACCCAATCCTTTATTACAACATTCCCTGGGAAAATTTATTATATTTTATAATGTGGTTTCCAGGAATGCCTTTAAGTAAATTACAATATGCATATACTTAAAAACCAGGTGCCATCAAGTTGACTCCAACTCATGGCGACCCCATGTGTGTCAGAGTATGCCTGTGTTCCACAGAGCTTTTCAATGGCTGCTTTTTCAAAAATAGATTGCCAGCTCCACCTCCTACTTTGGTGAGTAGTGACTGGGATCTTAAAAGCTTACAAGCAGCCATCTAAATGCAACAATGGGTCTCTCCTCGTCCAGAGCAAAGAAGAATGAAGAAAACTAAAGATTCAGGGAAACAATTAGGCCTAGCAACTTGTACACCATGCGATCCACAACCTACATGACTATGAGACCAGAAGAACTAGATGGTGCCTGGCTACCACTGTCAACCACTTGGAGGAGGATCTATGTAGGAGATCCTGGATAGAGAGGGAGAACAATGTGGAACAAAATGCAAAATCATTTGGGAAAAAAAAAAAAAGGTGGGGGTATCAGGTTTGCTGGTCTCATAGAGACTGGTGGAACCACTGAGACTCTGGCCCCTAGATGCCCTTCAGGTCTGGAATTGAACCCACCCCTGTGGCTTCCAGCCAAACAAAAGACAGGCATATGAGATGAACATTTACCTGAGGTAGATACACTCCTTGGAGAGAACAATCATGGGAGAAAGAAGGGCTGTTTATGCACAGGGAGACAGCT